TGTATTTAAAAAAGGACTTCTTGTTGTCCTTGATCCAGGAAGCTAGTCCCAGTTCCATCTCCGCCTTGGCGTTCCTGACTGCCCCCCTGCATCCCCGAGCAACCGCAGTATAGTCCTCCCTGGTGATGGTCCCTCCCATCCATTGGGTGTGTGCCTCCCTTTTAGCTAGGAGACATTCCCGGATGCTTTTTGTGAGCCATGGGGGCTTTCGCGCCCTCCCACCCCCTTTGATCCGTGTTGGGATTACCTCCCTTTGGGCTTGGAGGATTGTCTCCTTAAGGAGCGACCACTCTTCTTGGACACCTGGCTCCTCTCCCCTCCGGGACCTCAGTGCTTCCCTGACTATTCTCCTTAGCTCATTGAAGTCCGCCCTCCTGAAATCTAGGGCTGCTGCCTTGCTGTAGGCCTTTGCCACCTTGCGCTGGATGGTGAATTCCAGCAGGCAGTGATTGCTGTCGCCCAGGTGGTCGAGCACCCTCAGCCCCCTCACCAGGTCGTCACCCGTGGCCAGCACCAGGTCCAACAAGGCTTCTCCCCTGGTGGGGCTGTGCACCTCCTGGGTTAGATGGATGACCTGCATTCTGGCTAGGAACCTATGTGAGCGGTCAGATCTGGCTGACTCCTCTTCCCACCAGATGTCTGGAAAGTTCAGGTCCCCCATGATGACCACATTCTTTGACTTCACTACCTCCGTGAGCTGACTTAAGAATTCCTGGTCTAGCTTTTCCCCTTGGTTGGGTGGTCTGTAGTAGACCCCCACTGTTAAGTCTCTTTCCCCGTGACTACCTTGTATTCTAACCCAGGGCACTTCAGAGGGCCCCGCCTCTGATTCTTTGCTAATTGACGAGGATGTGTATTCCTCCTTAATGTAGAGCGCCACGCCCCTACTTTTCCTCCCTGTGCTATCTTTCTGTACGTCAGATTGGCCTTCCTTCATTTTGTCACATAGGCATTGCCCAGTTGGTCCAATGTAGACAGCAGAGGGGTACTGTGAGCGAGTGATGGTGTGTAAGACGTTGGTAGAATTGCAGGTGAATGAAACTCAGCCTCTCTCACTCTCCTTCATCCACACTCTGCAATGGCCACCGTATTCCTGTAACGCTTCTGTGTCATCCAAGGAGCCCTTTATGCATCAGAAATGTTCCAACCTACAGCTAAAGCAACATTAGAGCCATTTTGAGCTAAGGGAGAGGCATAACATGATCTCAGTATGATAACTGGCACTGTTCTGTAATAGTCTGACAAAAGATGAATAAAAATTGGATAGGAAACTGATGCTGAAACGAAATGGAAAGACAGCTTAGATACAGTAATATTATGTGTATAGGCATGAGCAGGGGCTGTAGTTTTGTTTGTATAAAATTAACAATATAATTCATATAAATGCATAGACTCTTTAGACTTCTGACACATTGATTTGCCACTAATAACAAATCTATACGAGAGAGAAGCACTGTGGAGTTTACATAATGTGGTATCCAAGCAGGTGCTGAACTTCTAACATGTATTCAGATTTTTCTTTCCATAAATTTAGGAAGGGACTTTATTCTAGCAAGTAGCTCTTGGGACAGCAGAGTTCCCAGGTCTCTTTCTAACATCCTTGTTTGGCTGTATTTGGTTTCCTGAATACTTATCTCCTACTCTGTCTACCAGGTAGAAAGCTGACATTATGATCAAGGAAGAGTGAATGAACAAAAATGCACATTAAAAGGAATACCAAATGGAAAGCACTCCCCCGAGTGGATACATGTATAAATTGTAAGAAAATAATCTCTAAATGCAGCCCCTGGGACTTGAATTATTTACACTCTTTTAATCCTCTTAACTTCAAATCAAGATCATTCACATTGCTTTACAGTCAGGCTTTCAATTGTATTTTATGCTCTCATATAATTTCCTTGTCAATCACTATATTGAACAAATTTGTAATCCGCTCATGTTTTCAACATAGAATCATTTGTCTGTTTATCCTATAGCCTAACACCTTTCCTCTTCATCCCTCCTTACTCTTATCAAAGTCGTATTTTCAAGTTCTCCGTGCAGACTTCTTACAGTGGAAAAATGCATGAACAAAATTGTCAACAGTCAATACGAAACCAAATGCAATTGCTTCTCTTATAACCATTCCTGATATGAAATAACTTTTAAGGTTATGCCACATTCTGAAAAGAGGCAAGGAATTCAAAGTTGGATTTGATAGTCTACCTTTTAGAAAAGAAACATTTCATAGTTATAAATATGTATGTGTGTATTACTTACCTGATGCACCTGGAATAGCCCCAGAACTGTTCTTGTTCATGGGTTATTATGTACTGAGGTGTTTCTTTCACTGTTTGGGGAGCTGAATGTGTAGTTGCTCAGATATCACAATGAGAATGTTCTCTTGTGGCAGTTTTTACTGAATATTATTTATAACAAAAAAAAAGACTAGTCTTTGATTAAGTATTTATTGTAACATTTAAAAAAACATTAATCTTACAATTATTTGGATGGTTACATACACTATTTTGCAAATAGACATGGAATCACTATTCACTTATGCAAATATAATATTTGCATTGGTGCAACATAATTTTATGTGGCATAAACACACAGCAGCTAGTTTTCAGATGTTTTGTGCTTTCAAATCAAAAAAGAGCATGTAATAAACTTGCATATAATTTTCAGCTGTAGAAGAGAAAAACCCTCTTGAATGAACACTTACATAACTCAAAAGGTCTATATTTAGCCACTTCTAAGTTGGGTAAGAATCATTGCTGCTTGTCTTAGCTCTGAATATTATGTCTTGGGTTACAAATGCTATATTTTATGTATAAGCCCTGCAGCAAATGCTGTTGTTAGGAGCCAAGGAGCTTTTGTGATTCCCCTTCTGCCGGTACTGAAGGAAAAAACCAAGAGCCAAACCATTATGCCACATATAAGGTGACATGCTGATAAAGATGGTTTCTTAGGTAACTTGGGTGCAAGGCTTTATATCATCACATAGTCAAATTAATTAATGGAACAGCATGTGATAGGATTTGAGCAGCAGTATTTTTATTACCAGTATCTGAGCCAGACATTTACTTAAGCAAAATAAAACCAAACAACAAGCTGACACCTGCTCGAGTCCCAGGACTCCAGGAGCTGGGGCTTTAAGGCAGTTAAGTACCCAGTGGTGGAAGGAGGTAGCTGGCAGGCACTGGGAGGCCTGGCTCCCCACCCATGGTGCCTTGGCAGGATTCAGGCCACCAAGGCTCTTGCCAAGGCTTTCACTCAACAAGGACACTCCTCCAGAGAGATAGATCGCACATTTGAAAGAACCTCCCAGATACCACGTGAACAACTGCTACAGTACACAAGAAAACCCCCCATGAATCGCACACTGCTGGTTATGACATATCACCCCTCCCTCGAGCCCATACGGAAAATCCACATGCAATTGCAACCCACACTACGAGACCCTATTTTTAAAGAGATCTTCCCAAAAGCACCCATCCTAGTCTGCAAACAAGCACTGAACCTCGCTAACCTCATCACCAGAAGCAACCTTCCTACGGTCCAGAACACACTGAATGGATCCAGACCATGCCAGGATCAGAAATGCAAAACCTACCACCCAGACAATGACTATACCCCACAACAGAGCCATCAGCATTCCTGCATCTTACAGCTGCACCTCCAGAAAGGTAATACATCTCATCCAACACCCTGATGGAAAATACGTAGGAGAAACCAAACAACAACTGCGCACCACAATTAACTCTATCGAAGACAACAATACTCAGTTACCTGTGGGGCCACATTTCTCACCAGAAAACCACTCTCTCTCCAATCTCTCAGTTCTGATCCTCAAAGGGAATTTACAAAACACCTTTCACAGACGAGCCCACGAACTTCACTTTATCAACCTCCTGGGTACAAAAAAAGTCACACACTAAATACAGACATTGGATTTATGACACATTATAAACGAACGTCTGACTTCCCAGGTGCCTCTTCACTGTTTACCTGCTTCATTCATCCCCCTTTTCTCTCCCTGCCCCCTAGCTGTCTCTCACCTACCGACTCCTCAGTTTACATCTTTGACTGCCTGTCTTGCCCGCAGACCAGCCTCGCTTCTTTACTATTCATTGCACCCAGGAAGAGTGCACACCGACTGCAGTGACTTCCCTCAGCCTGACGAAGGGTTTTTAAACCCAAAAGCTTACTTAATTTTTTTCCCCCAAACTATTTAAGTTGGCCTAATAAATGATATCAGATTCACCCAGATAACCTGGTCTGCCTTAAGCCCTGAGGGTGGGGGGAGGGGATTACAGCTGGGGCCCCTGGCCCAGGCAGGGCTTTGGGGGGGGGGGGCCCAAGGCAGGAAACCGCCCCTCAGCCTCTGGCCACGCCCCCACATCGGCAGGAGCCAATCGCTCTTCTTCATAACCTATTGCGAAATGTCTGTCCCCTGACCTCCACCCCTTTACGTGCTGCGTCACAACGCCACGAGCCACGTGATCGCTGACCTCCTCCTCCTCCTCCCCCCCCGCCACGCCTTTGGCAAACAACTATGTTTCCCGTCGTGCCTCGCGGTGGGATGTCGCGAAGTGTCGCGGTGGCGGCGCTGCTTTGCGGCTGAAGCCCTGCCTTGCCCTGCGCCGGGAGCCGGCGGCCCGGAGATGTGACGCCTGGCATGGGCCGTCGGCTGTAGCCCCCCCCTCAGCCCGCGGCGGGATGGAGGAGGAGAGCATGGAGGAGGAGGGGGGCAGCAGCAGCAGCTATGAGGCCATGATGGACGACCAGAACCACAACAACTGGGAGGCCGCGACGGCGGGCGGCTACCGGCAGGCGCTGGGCCCGGGCCTGGCCTC